TGTGGCTAGGAATATTACTGGCCGGTCGTAAACTGGAAAACACCTTGCTCAACAAGAAAATACAAAGTGACTATGATGACTAGGTTTCCGGGTTTGGTCACTCTCTATCACCATGCAGTCCATTCATACTCACAGGGGACTCGGCACAGCTGGACCGTGTTCGTGCTCGCGGGATTGCCATTTCGTCATTGGGCTACTCTTAGACCTAGAGTGAAGTGAAAAATCGATTTTGGTTTACGGCCCATTCGACCAAACTCACGAATTCACAATTTTGGCATATTATTCGATGGCATTCGCTAAAAGTTCATATCACCGGTTGTCACAATAACGATAAACCGAATAATTAAGGTTGGAGAGGTTTCGTCTTCCAAATGTCTCACTGAATTTGTGGTATCCGAAATGATGATATGATGGTCAGCGCTTTTTGTTTTAGTTGGCTCTCGAACACTGCCAGTTTTGTCGATAGTCCCATGGAACATGTCTCTGTATTTGACTTTCAATTGCAATTCTCCCAGTCACCCGTGCTGCATGATGGCTTGCCACAGAAGCCACCATTATTTATTTCGAGCTGGGTTAAAATGAGGGTCCATGTCTAAAAGAAGACACGATCACTGGAACGGTAGTTTTATTGGTCTATATCTGTGTGCATGGCATGGAGAGAGATTTTCCGATGTTGCTTACGGACAAGTCCTGCCGAAAAAGACGTGTAGATGCTCTCTCTAAGGCAATCGTCGTTAGCTTCTTTTGTTTCGCTATCGTCTGAACGGTCTCCGTAAACCGTGGACTGCCTTCGCAGTCACTGTGACTGTTCCCCACTGTGCAGGTCTCACTTCGTAACTTCAGACGATGTTCACATTGTACAGCAACATGCATGCATGACAAGGCCTTGCGTTGCCATAGCCAAGACAGTCGTATGACCCCAGCTTACGGGCGCAGTTTTTTTTTCTTGCTAATAAGACCGGCTTACAAATTTTCTGTTCTATAAACTGGCAAATTTTCAGATTCCTTGGTTGCTGTGGGCAGCCTAGCATGACCTGATAAGCGACCCGAAACTAAAGTTCCATATTCCTCAGTTTGTTTTATAAATGGCACGCAGTTAGTGCCTGCCGTGCCGCAGTGTTTTCTTTGGACTCTGCGGTAGTTGTTCTCGTAGGCGTCGTATCCTGCTGACATTACCACAACTGGTCCACGACTGCCCACTGGGAAGACGCAAGTCTACTTATCTTGAAAGCAGCCTGAATGTCGTCCGGTTATCGGTCACACGCGGATGCACCGTTAGCGAGCAGCTAGGCTACCGAGCGGTCTCTGTTCTGATGAAGTTTTGCAGGTCGGATGTGGTTATATAGCCCCACTTGAAGTAAACAAACCCCAGTCACCTCTAATACGGGACCGGTGGTAATAGGGGTGTTTACAGGTGGGACCAGGGAACGCACAGGCGACGTGGTCAAGTAGTTATATGCAAAGAAAAGCTATTGGGAATGCGCGGTTGTACTTTGAGTGACTGAGAAGTAGTTGCGCTAACCCGTAATCCTAACCTCCGACCTACACCCCTAACCATAACCCCCAAACATTAACCCCTTACCCTAATCCCTCACTCCGAACTCCTACTCCAACAGCATTGTGTCCTTCTGGTGGGGTCTACCAAACCACATCTTGCCGTTTTGTATTCCCTCTCTTTGGTTAATAAACAACTGCTGCTGCCTCGGGCCAGTTTTTCTAGCAAACAGCAGGTCGAGTTCAAAATTTTTCGGCAATTGAGGAATTGAAGTATACAATTTCTTCGCATATAGAATTTGAAGATACCATGATTTTCCACCATCTGAATACAGGGGAGAATGTTTTGATTATTTTTTTCCCTATAAAATCCATTTTAATTTATGAGAGCATCTGAAATTAGTCGAAAATTTCATACTGCCTGAGTGTGCTTTTTGGCGAATCCATTTTTTTGCAGAAGACCGAAAAGAAGTGCATTCCAAAGGCAGCATCTTGGCGTGATCGAACCATATTGTGACTTTGTTACATGATAATATTGCAAAATCACCTAAGGAATCCTTCCTATTCGAAAGCTCATTTCAAAACTTCGGCCAATGTTTCATGAGACCGGCCACTGACTGTATCGAACGTGCGCATGCTTTGTCCACCTCCGCAGCCTGTGGGCTCCGTGTGAGACTGCTCGCAAAGCGAACATTTGAACATAAGTGGCATCTCTCAGAGCAATTATTTTTTTGCAAATGTGAGATATGGCATGTGCTTTTTGATAATCACCGTCGGGAAGTATTTGACTTATGCTGCTTTCACTCCATTTCGCTATGATGTATTGAACGGGAGACAATATAGTTGATCAGGCAGTCAGCTGTGTCATCCTTACTCACTGACTGGTCTGGCTGGACGGACGTTGGCTGTCGGTGGCGTCCAAATGGAAAACTGACGCCGTAGGTGAACTTAGTGAAAGCCGACCTCAACCGCCTCACCGGTTCCATGGCCTCCGGCCTGTGGGCTGCACTGGAGACTCTGAAAGCCCCAAACTTTTCTTTCTGTGGGTGGAAGTTTCCTCCTTTAATTTTTTCAAAGAGACTTGTTTACCGATCTCTCCGTGGGTACAAAATAGGAACTAGATATTAAACTAGATGACACAATGGAGTTTTAAACTGCTTGGAGCAAAATACCCCCGTTGAGCGAATAAGCTTTCGATCTTACCCTCACGGCCGCCAGCTGTCACTTTTACGAATTATCATTTGACTTCTAAAATGACATCTGACTCATTTTAGGAATAGAAAGAGTTCCAAGCACTTACATCTGCTTATGCACCATTAACTACGTCAGGTCGTTAGGTCAGCCACTGCGTGCGCGCCTATCGTTGTATTGAAGCATGATGGGGGTGTAAGTGAAAGCCGAATGAAGTGTCGGCAGTGTAAGTCTCGCTCTCATTATGATTCAAGTAATGCGCGAGCCACCATTGCGTGCTTAAGACAATAATGCCCATAGTTTTTTACGGCTTTAAAATGTCAGATGTCAACTTTCATACTGCAAGGCTCAGACGGAGGACATTTGAGTCAGTTTAACCGGCGTTACGACGATATCCACTGTGTGCGGTACAGTAGGGTGTGCGCGAGGACGGTGGTTGGCGTGCGAATTAGTTTACAGTGAAAATAGACCTGCGATGGATCTACCGTACCTTCTCCTCACCCACCTCAGTCCGGTGTCAAGAAAGCCTGAGTTCGGATCGGGCGCAGGTCGGTGGCGTGGGTGCTTGCACCTAGGCGTGCCACCACACGGTTCATGTGTGGCACTTGTCACGGGTGCGCATCCCCAATAACGCGCCCTGACCCTCGTGTTGGTTCGGCTCAACTGCGTGGCCCGCCATATGGTCCTCATCCCTCTGTCCAAACCTAGCTTCCTTAAAATCAACCTGGCTGTGAGTAGAACTTTCGGACTGGTGTCGTCTTCTGGGGTATCACTAGCCGAGGCTAGGAGTACTTGTACTTGATACCGCTGCGATCATGCCTGATCTAGCCATCCTCGACGATGCCCCGAACTGTACCTCTCCACACGTGACTATCCGCGGCAGCAGATCTGGACAGCTCAACCCTTTCCCTTCGTCAACGACGGAGACCGAATACCGAAGGTCCATGAACCACCTCCATGTCTTGACGAACTGTGTCGAGCCAGGTTTGGAACTGACCCCCTCTTCGACGCCTCCAATGGGGCAACGGTGCCGGATCGAGGGCAGTAACACTGAGCTCCTGAGGTAGACGAAGAAGAACATTCCCGAACCACTTCAGTCGTCTTTCTTGGATGGCCTGAGTTATCCTTGCGATGTTGTCGCAGCGAGCACGGACTGTCTCATTTGAGACGAAGTCGGTGAACTTCACTCGAAGGATGGTCCTCAAGCAGTGGTGATCAAATGCCTCCAGTTTTCGCTCGTCCTCCACGCGCAAAGCCCAGCATTCACAACCGTGGAGAAGGACAGACCGGACATATGCACGGTACACGCGAATCTTTGTGGCGATGGAGAGGTCACGTCGGTTCCATAGGTATTTCCGAAGGCTCGAAAAAACCCAGCAGGCAGCATCGATTCGGGAGACAATGTCGTCATTACTCTGTCCATTAGGCAGCAGCCTCGTCCCAAGGTATTTAAAACTGTCTACTTCAAGTTGACAATCATCGATCCCGAGGGGTGCCTTCTCCTGGTCAGGGATGCAGTTTGAGAACACTTTGGTCTTTTCAGCGTTTATGGACAAACCGACCGATTTAGCGACCTCGTTCACCCGTGACACCATAGACTGCAGATCACCAAAACTTGAAGCAAGTAAGGCTATATTATCGGCATAGTCGAGATCAGTCAGTCGATGTCCGGGTGTAAACTCAACGCCGTCACCCTCTTGTACGGCCCTCCCGAGGATCCAGTCTATAGCATAGTTGAACAGAATGGGGGACAGGATGCAACCCTGCCGGACGCCAGACCGAATACCGAACGGTTGGGAAAGATTGTTGCGGACCAGGACCCTCGCAGTTGTGGTGCGATAGTAGGCCTTGATCATGGCGATGATTTTTACCGGTACACCATCTGGCACCATTATCCGCCACAGGGACTCACAGTAAACGGAATCGAACGCGGCGGCAAAATCAATGAAGCAGACGGCCGTCGGTTGTTGGTAGCTATGGCGAAATTCGAGAATGCGCCTCAGTGTGAATCCCTGGTCTGCGCATCCACGTCCACGAAATCCGGCCTGGTTGGGCCTCGTCCTTGAGTCACGCACAGCCTGGAATCACCTGAGTAGGACAATAGTGAAGATCTTCGCAGCAACGTCGATGAGACTTATGCCGCGCTAGTTCTCGGATCTCGTCTTATCTCCCATCTTGACGATAGGCACAAGGATTCCTAAGCCCCAGTCATCAGGAACAACCTCGTCTCTCCACTCTCGTTCAACCACCTACTGGAGCTAGGGCGCCAGAGTGCCAACACAAGACTTGAAGATTTCAGTGGGGATATCGTCCTCTCAGGGTGCCTTATTGTTGCGCAACTTTCGTATGGCATCGGCGACTTCTTCCTCGGAGGGGGGATCGCATGGCACTGCATAGGTAGGAGAGGGAAGAAACTCCGCTGAGGAGGAGAGCAAGGGCGAGGTAGGTTGGGTATCGAAGTTAAGATGGTGCTCAAAGTGCTCACGCCAGCGCTCGACTTTGGCCGAGTTGTCAGCAACAAAGCCGCCGTTCACATCGCGAACAGAGTCACTCAGTGTAGAGGGCTTACCGCTAACTTGGCGGATCAGACGGTAGAGCTTTCGAGTGTCACCAACGTTCGAGGCCTATTCCATGGAGGTCGCGATTTCAGCTCAATATTGCTTCCGGTAATCCTTGGCCGATTTTGCCGTCATCTTCCGAAGTTGGCGGACGTAGTCATCGTTGCGGGACCTGGCTCTAGCCGTCTGAGCAGACAACTGCAGTGTTCTTCCACTGATCCAGTCACTGCGGCGTCGCTGGGTGTATCCAAGGATTTTCTCAGCTGCCCCATAGACTGAAGTCTTCAGTGACGACCACTGGTTACTGACTTCTCCGTCGGCTCGGGTCGTAAAACAGGTCCGGATTCCTCTGCTTAGGGCCTCGGCAGTGCTGGCCTGCCGGATTTTTGCGACATCGAGGCGTCTAGGACGTGGCATTTTTGGTGCGGATGAGAGGTGAACTTTCAGGCCTGTACGGACGAAAACATGGTCCTACCCATGGGCGTTACCAGTCTCGGCACAACGCATCGATCTGCTATCGTGAACCCAGTTGCGGAACCTTGAACTGACTCGTATGTAGTCAATCTGACTGGCCGTATGACCGTCTTTTGAATACCAGGTCAGTAGATGTTTTTTCTGATGCTGGAAACATGTGTTGGTGACAAGCAGTTGGTGTTGATCAGTGAAGTTCAGCAATCTCTCACCATTTTCACACCGGGAGCCAAACCCAAAGCGGCCAAGAAGATGACTGGTTGTGGGGTCGCCAGGTCCAGTTCGACCATTCCAATCGCCAGCAACAATCACCATATCGTGGTGAGGCAATCTTTGAACTAGCGCTTGCAACTGAGAGTAAAACGCCTCTTTATCGCGCTGTTCGGCAGCCGAAGTTGGTGCGTACACAGAGACGATGGAGATGTTGGTGAAGTGGCCCTTCAGTCGCACGTAGGCCATCCGGTCATTGACTGGTTCCCAAGCAAGTAGCGCGAGGTCCGCTTGTTTTGATAGGGCGATTGCCATACCGTGTCGACCAGAAGAATCGCGCGGGCCGCTGTGGTACAGGGTGAAGTGTGATTCGACTCCCGGGATCTTTATTTCACGGGAGCCTGAGTCTGGGAGTCGAACTTTAGAGAGACAGCAGACATCCACGTTGTACTGATAAAGGCCGCGTGCGGTCAGACTTTGGGTACCAGGGTCCAGGAACATTCGCACATTCCAGCATCCAATACCGAGAGTCCGTCCACGATTGAGTAGTCCAGCTCGCATACTATTTGCCCGCACCACTGGACCAGGGTTGCGGAGCGCGTCGGTTCCCGCGGACGCCGTAGCATTGGTCGTAGTTCTGTGATCCGACATGTTTCATGAGGTTTCTTGGGAATTTCGAATACGGGCGGGTCCCCAACAGCCGCTCGGATGGTTTGTTCGAAGTTGTCTCCTCTAGCGCTTTGGCTTAAAAGCCTAACCACAAGGCAGCGGTGCAATTAAACTTATTTAATGGCGGTTTACGGTCGCCATGTTACAATGCCGTCGTTGGGTTTTGCGGCTTTTTATAAGGCTTTCAGCGTGCCAGACCTCAGCCCACCGCACCCTGGTAGCAGTGTCGCTGCTGGTCCGCGACTGCTTATTCGTCAGACCTGGGTCTGCTTATTTCGCAGCTAACCTTCACTGAAAGTCGTCCCACTATCCGCCACCTGTGGACGCGCCGGGTAGCCAGCAGATAGGCTAACGGGCAACCCGTCTTCCCGGCTAGGAGTAACAGGAGCTGTTTTTTCTATTTCTCCCCTAACAAGCGCATCTTCAATGCCCTCTCTTGAACCCATGCATATGTTTCTGCCACAGGCTTCTAAACAGTCCAGAACAGACACTTGCTTATCTTTTCAAGTTTTCTGCTGTTTTCCTCGGCAGCTGACGGCCTACGCCGACTAAATCAGCCATAGCGGATTCTAAATAAAAGTAAGGCAAGTAAAGTTGTTAACTCACCCATCTCATCATGCAACCAAGAAGCTTACTAATCCACTTTTTTAACAAAAAACCGGTACACTGGGCGTGTTGATCATCGTCGATCTTTCTGACTTTTCGTTTGTTCAAGAGGGAACACTTATTTTCCAAAAATTGTTATAAACACCTGTTATACTCCTATGAAATACAATAACCATTTAAGTATTATCTTGCCACTCATAGTATTAGGATAAAATCACAACGTGCCACAATGTCCGTTATCTCAATGGAGTCCGAATTGGTCGCCAGGGTCAACGAGCTGGTTGAACTGTGCAAGCGTGCGGTCGTATGTTCAGTGGGCCCTTCGATTAACGCCAGTTTTAGACGGAACAAAAAGTGAGCGATGAGTCAGTGGGCTGTATCAATGCTATGCACTCGAAGCCTACCAAGTCCAAAAGTATGCTGGTACATTATTTTTAATCGTTTAATGTTTCAGCTCCTATGGATCAGCGAAAGAAGCTGAAACAGAAACTGCAATTAGCTCTGAAAGATGCTGAAAATGTGCAGGAGTAACTATTCTTTATACCTGCTATGCCATTATTCTCAGAGCGCTCCTAGCCGCGCAGTCAAAAATTTTGGAGATAAAGGCCATCGAACACAAAATAAGTAACCTCTTCCATCCCTATTTTTTATTTACTGAAAACGCCTTAGAGGTAGCGAAAGGTCCGCGCAGTTTTCGACGTGGTGTGCTTATGTCCTTGCTACAAGACAACGCCAAATCGCTCCCTCTCTGGGCTGGAAAGGTCGGAGCTCCGTAAGTTGTTGAAAGTAGAGACAAACGGATCTTTGTTCTAGCCCACCGTCTCTTTGTGGTGCAGTAGGTACGTCCAAACCGGAAGACTACGTTGTCGCTGGAGACCATGTTGCCGCCTTGGTCCCCGATCCGGAGGCGCGTGGTTCTGACTCTGACACTCTTGAAAGCTGGATTTTGGCCGAGATCGTTGCCTACAGCGCGGAAAAGAAGGAATTTCAGGTGGACGATGTGGATGCCGAAGAGGGAAAAGTGTAAGTAGGACCCTATTTTTCACGTTTTTCTCCAGACGCGACATCAGCGCGAGAAAGTACTTGAGAGATAACCGTTTCCATTAGCTAATAAATCCCTCCCCCCTGCAATATGCGCATCGAAAGCCACCATCCATGTTTTTTTAAAAAAAAATAGTTATAACTCAGAAAATCAGTTGGCAAGCGTGCACACGTTTTCCATAAATTTTACTAGCCCGGTGCGGTTTTCGGGATGGGCGACATCTTAGCGCACATGCCAATGAAATACAGTCAGTTAAGCCGGTTCCTACGACTCATGTAGGGTGCAAATATTGAAAGGGAGAAAAACGGAATTTACATTTTGGTGAGAGAAGTCGGTGTACGCTTTGCCTACGGGACGCGAATATCTGTAATTTAGCGGCGGCCTTGAATATGTCAGGAGCATTCACTTTTGAGGTCAGTTTCCAGCGTGCTACGGCATACGAAGGACCCGCGTTCTGTTAGGTTCTCTCAGGTAATACCCCGAAATATTGATTCGAGAGTCTCGGCTTGACGTACTTATCACTACTCCTTGACGTTTTATCCCTCATCAAGGATCTGGCGGCCAAAAGCACATTAGTTATGTAATTTCTTAAACGGGCTATAAGAGTCTCATATGCGCATTAGTTGTAAGTTGGATATACCCAGGAGGACAGACGCATGCCCTGCTCATCGTATCGGCTCCTGTTAATTTCGTTTGTGCTAAAGCGCCACAAGAGGGGCGTCTTCGCCGACCCCAGTGAGGGTGGACCACCGGTTGAGGTGTCTGACGAACATGGGGGAGATGTGTGTTATTTTGGCGTTCTCCTAATGTCCGTAGCGCATTTCATCCACTCTACTGTGTCACAACTTCTTACCTATACGTTTTACAAAAAACCAAACCAAGCCAAAGGATTCCAACGAAAGTTGTGCTGGTGTCGCGTGTGGTCGTTCGCTCTTCGTGGAACTAGGAACTGCGGTATTCGAGAGTTCGACCATCGCGGGCGATGACGTCCACCGTGTGCCCCACGGTGACTTGCGCGTGAATTAGTTTATGCCGAGGCAGGCTTCCGCAACATCTATCGCACTTTGTCCTCCCTCGCCTACCTGAGCCCAGTGGAAAGACAGTGTCAGGACGACCGGAGGTGGTTTCGAGCGCAATGGCTAATGAGGTTAAACTGCCCGTCTGTGTGTACCGCGCATGGCCTGGTCCTCGCAGATTACAGCAGGGCCCACTCGCACCTCGCGTGCGTGTAAATGTCATAGGGACTATACTAAGACGGAGCCATTTAGCCTGTCTGTCGGTCCTCCAGTCACTCCAAGATACTCCCCGATCGCCTTCGAAGGGCACTAGGTTCTTCCAAGACCGCCTCCGGTCGTCCTGACAATATCTTGCCACCGGGACCAGGTGGGTGGGAAGAGAGAGATGCTGTGTATGTCTGCTATGCCTACGTTGGGCATAGTCACATGCGGAGGTCGAACTGTCATGTCATGTCATCCCCTGCGTTAAAATGCACCTGGATACTGGTGCAGCACTTCGCAGAACTTGTTTTTTACATGGTCTGGTACATGATTAGGAGACATGGGCGCCGATGGTTATGGTAAATTTCTCCTTCGTCGGAGTATGAGCCTCATGAGACGACTGTTGGTTCTTCCCTGCCGGAGGCGAGACAACTTCTTCGCCATGTCGTTCCTGATGACAGGCTCTGCCCTTATACCTCCTCTGCGGAAGGTTGACCGTGCACCAACTTCATGCAGTTGCCCTTGTCCCCTAGAAACAGGTCTCGCTAAGAGCTGCGATGTCCAATTTATGGCAAGACCAAAGCTGCCCTTTTTCCTGGTTGCCAGGTCACTGCGTTGTCTAAGTGGAGTGGCATGTGCCATTAGATGCTTTTTCTTCTGAATACTGGTTTTTTGCGACTTTCTCGTTCTATGTACATTTCAAAACCCCTATTCACTTGTAACAGGCCAAAGTAAGTCCCATATAATTGGCATTGTGGTTCTATCAAAATGTCTTCCATATTGTCACGTCACTGCACAGAAAGTGATCAACTCGCACTCATCTCATTTAGCATGCGCGCGTCGCGGCTGCGGCCCAGTTTTACTCCACCATTGCATCATTGCCTCCCTTGCCAAAATCCTTGGCCCGTAAAACCTTCGGCTGCTCTTGAGATGCAGAATCCCCCCTTTTTGCCCTTTTGTTTGTTCGAGCTCTTACACAGACGACTTTTTTGCATTTTCCCTCTCTCTTAGGCGATATGTTTTGGAGAGGCACAAAGTCATCCCTCTCCCAAAGTGGAAGGCAGACCCCGTTGTAAATCCTGAGGCCATTTTCCCAAAAGGAACGGTATGTTTTTGGCTGGTCTCTTATTGAAGGCGCTTCTGCTTAAACAAGTCACATCCAGCGAACTCCGTTTACTCAGGCCATGAACAGTTTGTGTCCGTAAATCATCCGTATCAAATGCCTAGGCGCCGAAACAGACCTAATGCGCATGTTTGCGAGTTTGTCTTGCCGAACAGGCAACCACTGCGCACAGTTAGACCGATGATTGTCTCAAAATAGGATTTAAGGAGACTTCTTTTGAAAGTCAATTTATGGCTTTACAGAGCGCTGGTATAAGCTCTCTTCTTTAAACTGAAGAATGTCCTCGGGTATTGCCCAATGATGCATTTGTTGCCTTCGATCAACTCGGCAGTCGGCATGCCTTGACTTCTTGTGCATTTTTTGTCGCGAACCGACTTGCCTATCTAGTTAGAAAAACTGGATTAACCTACCCCGTATGCCCGTTTTTTTTTTCCATTTATACCCAGTTGCTAAGTCACTGAAACCACTAAGCCTACTTCCCCTCTTGTCAGTATGTTTATTCTACCTTTATTTCACTGCATGTATTTAGAGCTTATTTATATCCACTAACTGCGCGTTATGGGCAGATATGAAGTTTGACTTATACAAATGCTGCCTGCGAGGCTTGTAATCACGATCTTTTCGAGGATATCTTATAGGCAGTCTTATTTTCCAAGGGAACTTTTGATAATTTTGCAATACGGCTGCATTTGAAGGAGAAAAAAGGAGGGAGATTTTAGTGGTAACTGTAGCCGTGTAGCCTCTCTGAGTGGCAATCCGCGCGGAACACAACATCTTGCGTCACGTTGTCTCATAAAGATTCCGGCTTCTGAGGGGGGGGGGGGGAACAGCGTCTGTGACGCTTATATATGTTTCCTACCCTGGCGTGCTTACGAGTGAGTGGTCTTGGTCTAAGGTTATTCACTGGAGGTTGTACACCATCGAACAAGGTCACAAAATCAAACCTCTGCATTCTACTTATGCATTCACAAACCCTGCGTCGGCCCGGAGGAGTTTCTCAGTCCTGTCTTTCTTGCATCTCTTCTATAGGTGGTTCTCGCGCTATATCCGCAAACAACTTGCTTTTACCGTGCTCTCGTCGACAAGAGCCCCTCTCATGTAAGACTATGCCTTATCACTGGACTACTGCTTCTTCGTTTTCTTTTCCGTCGCGTAAGAACCTGGAACTTTTTTTAAAGGAAAATATGCTACTAGGGCATTAGGGATTCCATATGCCATGCATCTGCCAAACATCACCCTTCCCACTCGACCAAACAACGATTGCGCCCAAGTTACTGACCGGCGTGTGTTTCAGGGAAACCGAGCTGCCCATACTGCGTTAGGAAACAGCCATTGAAAGAGGAAGCTAACACATCTAGTCCATGTTATCAAATCACTATGGCGCACGCGCCCAGACTAGGTGGGTATAGGTCGAATTTTAATGTTGCGTATAAATGCCGATTTTTGTAAATGCTCGCTGACTTTAGTAGCTCTGATTTCGTTTTTTTTTTCGCTTGCGCGCGCCATGCGTGATAAACATTACTGGTGGAGCTTTTGGGGTGCCTGGGGGGTTCACTTTGGTGGGCTGACAGTCGCATAAAATGCCAGCCAGCTCCTACCCCATTTGGGACGCAGCTCACACCGTAGGCTCCCAAAGCTGGGCTGGGCACAGCGACCACACCCGGGTAACCACTGCAACTGGCGTCTCCGCGCCCCCTTCCACTTGCTTACGAATACGGACTCGACAGCAGGAGAGGCGTCGTCAGCGTTGTGGCGCGCGCAGACGGAGCTTTGTGCCGGTTCGGCTCTTTCGCCCATGTCCGTCTCCAGTTGTCCTTACCCCTGTTATTCTAACTATCGGTATGGGACTAGGGTTTTTATCAATGTTAGGCTAGTCTCTCCCTCAATATAAACCAATGAATATGCAAGCAATTGCTATTTGTTCCTGATTGGCGATTAGCATTATCGTGTTAAACCGATGAATTACATGGATCTTCAGGAGTTGCGTGTAAACATGATAGATAATGCTTCTCTAACAACACGAGTGGTTGCTCTAACTGCCACATTAGTAGAAGAAAACTAGTAGGTGCGCTGCAGAGTCTCATTAGGAATCCCTCGGACTAAGCCCTTGCCAATGCGTTCGCGGAGCCAAACTGTCCTCATGACCTGGTGATCACATCAACGTTAGCTGGTCAGGCGCGAGGGTCTTTGAATGGATGACGAGGGGAGTCTGGGACGCTGCAGCTAATGTGGGTGTACTAGCGCTGGGGCCGGAAACCAAAGCCAAATGCGGATACCAATGAAGGCGGTTTGTGAAGTCATAAAATGCCAACTTTAAAAAAGTGACTTTGTTGGGCTTGATCATTTGGTAGTGGCCGGGATAACAACAGAACCGTCCAAGTGGGATCTTAACTACTTTCATCAACCGGCAACACTCCCTAACAGTATAAATGGCGGTGGTCTCTATTGACGGGATAGGGGCTTATTTGCCTTCAAGCTAAAAGAAATTCGGGAAGCTTAATGTCGACTGCCCAAACATTTTTCTAAATCCAACGTCAAAGGAGTCATGCAACAGATAGTAGAACACCCACCGACTATGTCTTTCCGGACTTACACGCGTCCTCCGGTAATGCTATTGATTATCTTCTACCTCCGCTTGCAAATTGCAGTGAATCCCACCTTGCATATTTTGACAAATTGGGTGGCGGCCCGCTGCAAGATTAATCCCGCTTCAAAGCGTTCACTGTTCCTCATAACAGCATCGTCTTTTAGGTGCACGATGAATACTCACTCTACTTCGAAGACCCCAGTTACCCCAACGGGTATGCGCCAGCCATACGAATTCCTCAGAGGTACGTAATCTTCTGCCCCAGTGGAGATCCCAAGAACACTGAGGGCAGTGAGCGCAAGCTCATTCCGGGCGTGCAAAAGAAGCGATGAAACACGCTCTAGTGTAATTTTGTTTTGTACTCACTCATCCTGCGATGTCTTTTATTTCTAAAATACAATCTTAGACGTGTAGTTATTCACCCTGAGGCTGGGGGTTGGAGAGTGCGTTCAATGTAACTACTGGATATGTAACCGTTAACACGGAACGAGCTGATTAACCCGACCAAAAACCAGCTTACAGTGGACCGCACTGTACATCACTGAAGGCAGCTCACAAACAACATGGCACCCGGCCAAACGTTTGGTAGGCGAGAGGTACGCCACCCGTTTTCGCTTTGTCTGCCACAAAGTCCGGTTCGAGCCAGTGTTTGATATGGCTGCTCGCATGCCGGACGCGAAGGTTAAGGTTGGAAGCCCTACTGTCCTAGATACATACAGTACCTGTGCTAACTCATGAAATGTCACGAATTAACACAGGTTGACGCCTTTAACGCAAAATCGGTAAACACTACGGCTCCCAAAGTCTGATAACGGAAAATAAACGATGTGCCAAAGAAATAAAGCAAAGTTTGGTTAAGAAAATATTATTTACTGAGATAAAAATAAATAATTTTCGACAAAAGTCACATTTTCGAGAAACGCCTATATTACAACCAAGTTAATAAAGGCTACGTATGAGGACGTATAAAGGAGGAGGGCGCATAAAAGGTCAAAAATAATTAAGGACAGAAACAGATACAAAAAATTAGTACTTTGTAGATTGTCCATTCGAATTAATAACGCCTAATCTACTTTTGCGAAACGGCTGGAGTCGTTCAGAGTTGCCCGCAGACAGGTATTATTTCTCAATTTCGGTCCGACTCGAGCGTAACAGGACGGTTTAACCCTGTGCGCTGATGTCTGTGAGGGTGTCTCTCGAGTATGCCGAGACAAACGTCGGCTCCACTAGCATGCTAACCTCAGTAAATTCGTTGAATATTCAGCTAGGGACGGCCGAAAGCCTCAGAGCTACCGGGACGGCCTGCAAATCGGGCTGTGAATCACCCGGCAGGCGGTGCGCAGTGCCATGATTTTCGGCGAATGCTAGGCGTACAAAACGAGCAGGTCTGACAAATAGGTAAACGCGGACCACGCAGCAGTTTATGGCTACTCAATATTCAACTGGACGTCTACGGAGACGTAGCCACCAGCAGCTATATTTCCCATCAAGATCTAAACACACGATGGCGTCAGCTAGGAATGTAATTGATATGCTACGCCAAAACATGTACACAGAAATTGTATTACGCAGTGGATCTAAGTCGGTCAGTTATGTAAGCAAAAAGTCCGGTGGAGATAAGGGAACGTTTGAGGTGTCGTGTAATCATGTTATTGCTTATATACGAAAGAAAGCATATTTGAATAGATGAAAGACAACTACCTCGGAATTATGGGACCCAGTATCTCAGAAGAAACATAGGTGGCTCTTGTGATGTGGGAAGCGGTTGAAAGTTCGACCTTTGAGATGATTGGGCTGAGTGACGAACACAACACAGCTGTCCTCGTGGACACAAATTTCGTCAGGCCCCACAAAGATGATGGGCAAGATCGAAAAACAGGCCCTGTGACAAAAGACTGCTTGAAGGGGCTAGGGCGGAGTCGAAGTGTGGAGAACATCAGAGCACGGTCTTTTGCGAAGCATCAGAACTCAGTCCAGACCTGCTGTACTCCATATCCAAGACGTCGGACTTAACCAGCGGCTCTGTTTCCTGAGAGATTGTTGACACCAAAGTGGATTCTGGGTTGAGGTTTGGACGCGTTAGCATATCATGTGTTACGAGAGATTTCATAGCACTGACACAGTTGACGAGATCACGACCACACTGTTTGTTTGGTCCACTTCGGAGTTTACGAAGTTTGTTTTCTGAAGGAGAAGTAATTTGCAAACGACCAGCAATCTTACCCAACAGTTCCAAATATTGATCAGAAGAGAGGCTGTCAAAGCTGTCCATATCCAGCAGTGTCTAGTTCTGCAGCACGGGAAGATGTCGACAAGAAGAGGAAGCATTAGAAACATGGGGATGATTTGTCACAGACAATAAGTTAGACTAGGAATAGTATAAAGTAAATACTTAATATGGATAGCGGCAAGGAGCTGCCCTGTGTTTTCTTGGGAGAGATTGAGTTAGCCAACATATGGGTTAAGAAAGACATAATTTCGAATAGCAGACACGGCCAAGATGTCATCTTTATTTAGATTTTCCGGACAAAGAGGCATATTTTGATGGTGTAACACCGTCACCGGAGTGGCGTGTGCGTGCGAGAAAATTTTTATTCCGGTTAACTGTCAAAAGGTTACCAATGACACGCTGGTACGAAATGGTAAAGGTATTCGGTGAAGGCAAATCAATGTAAACTCTTTCTCGACTACTTACCTCACAATTCGCTTTCCCATTAAGATTCAAGTAATTAAAATGACGCGTGCGGATTCATTAAAAAGGGTGCCTTGCCTTCAAGTCCTGGACGGAAGTTCTACATTAATTTAAAAGAATCGTTTGTGCGGACTACGAGCAACGTCGCGCGTAGTGGTAGCAGATACGTGACGTGTGACTCAGAAACAGGCCACGCAGGTTTGCGCTAAACAATAAACGGCGGCTTCGCGCTAAGTCAACTACTGAGTCGCCGCTGGGCGACGAGATATCCCACGTATGTCTACCACATAGTTTTCCGGTCATCATAAATCTGATACACTTTAAAGTATTATGACGCACTAAGTCATTACCTTCGAGTTCTCTGTCCCTCCTCCTGCTGCTCCAGACAGGGGACTAGACTCTAATGGCTTCTTTCTAACGTGTCCTTGGTCACTTTTCGATGAGATCCGAGGCCCTTCTAAAGCCCGTCGTGTGCATATATGGGGATTAGCACATGTCAATCTGGCCGTTTCCGCTGTGGATCCAACAGTTACCACGACATGAACCCGATACTTTTTGAGCAACGCCTAACAGTTACTAAAGACACCCTCAAGGACATTTTAGTCGTCCAGCGATGCTTCAGTTTACTCACTCACTGGAACTGTCGCCCTCATGAGGGCGACAGTTCCAGTGAGTGAAATGCATTTCACAATCTTTGGCCCGCTGCGAATTAATTGCCGTCCACTAGTCCGACTTCCATAAAAAAACCGAAAAATGTAATTTTCCGAAAGACCCGGTGTCATGTTGCATGAAGAATGAGGTCGCAGTATCATTATCCCTAATTAATAATGAAGCGTTAAGCTATGCTCGTAAAATTCACTGTCCCGTGGTGCGCGACCCATAATGCGAGAAAAGGAGGACTAGGCCGGATGGGAAATGCTCAAGTACTTGGAGGTCGGTGACTGATGGCGAGTACGATTGGACAGGGGAGGCTTCTTAACGTACCCAAGATAATTAAATCCCGCCGTCTGCCGTAAACAATTTTGTTTAGCGCACTAATGTTGTGGTTTATTCTGATTGAAGTAAACAAACGTCAACGACGAGCCAGGCTAACCTAGCCACAATAACCGTGGTAAGCTTTTCGGTTAGATCTAATCCCATGAGTTATGTGAGATATTTCTTGTGGCCTTTCGTTTGATTAAGAGATAAATGAATGAATGGAAGAGAATATACGCATCCCAGGTTCTTTTAGATAAACGAATTTCGGGGACTGTGTGCCGGATTACTTCCTCAAGTCAATTCGGACAAAAGTCTAGAATTTATCAAACAATCAAGGGCACTTAAGCATTCCCGTGTCCGTTTTTTGTAGTTCCAGTGACCAAAAGTCCTTATCTATCGGTACAGGCTATTTGCCTGACGTGAATATTTGCGAATAAACGATGTTATGAAAAGGTCATCCGTCCAACCGTAGGAGTGACTAATTCCGAGAAGAGTAAGAACAACAAAAGGAAAGCAGGTTAAAGCACACGAACTCTTGACCACAAATCGGACGATTAAATTCTATGTCTGGAAATAACTGCTAGAACTAGAATGAAGACGGAAAGACATGTCTCGGAATGATAATTCCGATAGAGAATATTCATTCCTCTTGATGTAAAGGTGGTGTAAGTACACCAACAAATACAATACTGAAACATGTCATACACCTCTGCTGTAAAGGTAGGTAAACTTTATTGCAATCTTATGTAATGGATATTTCCTATTTATATGGTGCTATGCAAACTCTGGTCACCTAGATACGATCAGGCTCCGCAACGTCATTTAAATGATGGTGGCGGTAGTCGTGGCATATAATGACGTGCGGGAGAAGTTTGTCGTGTTGGCATTTCGCTGTGTCTGCAGATGGGCGACGAGACTGATCTGCATTTGATAATTTTGTTGGCAGTGTGAACACTGTGGCAAGGGTTGGACACTGGAATCATTTACCTCTAGCTGTGCATTTTTTCGAGATCTTTCTTTTTGCCTTGAAAGGGGGCATTCGGTTGAATTCAAAAATAGCTGTCACGGACTCTATGATAATATATCAGGTCTGTCGATCTTGGCCGAGGTTTGCCATGTCTCTGGGCTGATAGGAAGATGTTTGAGTGTGAACCTTAAGGCGCAATTGTGGGGACGCTCTTATCCGCCTAATCTATGGCGACACTCATCTACGTTATCGTTCTGTGTCCGCACACGTAAGCGCTCGTCGTATATCCTCACAAGACTGGCCTTTCAATGGAAACTGTTTTTGCCTTAGTGTGGCGTATATACCGAGGACGTTGATTCTGTCCGGATCTCGGTGTTTGGGATCCTGTCCTGCCATCTCACTTTCTTTTTAATTAAGAACATTTAAATTAGTAAGACGTGCACAAACGGAACAACTAAGAGGACGTACAAAAGAATGCAGTATAAGTTCCACTATAGAAGGCATTTTTCTATATCCCACTGAGAAGCGAAGAAGAGAAACTTCTTACATTTACAAGTATAACGCACGCGACTTCATTTTGAATATAAATCAACTATGTGCTAATCTAATTAAAAGAATTGGAGCGGTCATCAAAGAGAACTGTTTTCGTATAATAGGAGGGACAGCGTCCGGTCAAATTTTTTAATCATAGAAGGCTGTGAAAGGAACATCTATTAAATAAGCAACGAAAATAATTAAGTCAGAGGTGCTTTGGCGGATCTCCAATAATTTACTTTGTCAGGAATTAATATTTAAATATAGAGCAATATTAAAATGTCATAATGTCATAAAATCTTGCTTAAAATATACGGAGCTATTCCGATCGGGTGAGGAATACCAATTTATTTTCTGCAACCTGGAGGAAAAAGAAGTCAACTAGCGCGAGGACTTTGAAGAAATTAATCTTCAGATTGACATTTTGGAGGAGAAGACTTTGATTTCCACCACATCAGAAACTTCGCCGAATTTCAGCGTCTTTTACACCATATGTGTTTAATTTCGGTGAATATTTTATAAACCACCAGACGTACAGTCTATAAGTGACAGCGATATACGCCCATTATAATGTGCACTGTTGAACTATTCGAACGAAGCAGTTGGCCGGCTTCAGTTAAGAGGAGGTCCGTGATACGAATGGCCGGCAAAAAGTGCAGTCCATTCATTGAGGACACAACTAAAGTATGGTTGCTATTTGGGTGCTAGGGACAGAAAATAATCAGACCCCTATTCTTTCGAAATCCGAGTATTAGTTTTTAGAGTGTGTGCCAAGCTTAGACGTCGAATACCGGTATTCGGAGTTTGACCTAATGAATTATTATTCTTAGTCTCCCTCACTCGCATGTCGACCAAACTCTAGCTGTCCTTCCTTCTTGTCGGTACTGCTGACCACTGTCTTCCTTCAACAGATGCCAGCTAAATTACATGTACATGTATTTCAAGATCTTACGAACTCTGGAGAACATTAGCTAATATATTATGGCAGTTCCTTGAAGAATTCGGTCTCAATAAAAAAGGAATAGTGCATCCATCCTTTCCATCTCCAAGTGAGAATAAATATAGGGCGAAGTGGATTGTGCCAATAACATCGCGAAACCGATTACACAAACGAACAGGTGATTTCTAAAGCCAAATATTCCGGAATGTGCAGCCACAAAGATCAAAATAAACCGAAAATTCTCTCAAAATCAGCATTCCATTAATAAGGCTGTAATGAAAGACGTAAAGGTTCGTGGATGTTTGGCATGCGGACCACAACGAACCTGCTATATTTCGAACGCTGCAAACAGTTCATTCAGAGAACAACTCATGTTTTGAGTAGGGTAAGAAATGCTATTTAAAATATCTCCTTCGGAAATCTTTAGAAGTATGTTCAGATTATTTGCGAGAACTTATTTGCAATACGAAATGTTGGCATGAACATGAAAAAAGAAAGAAATTGATCTCCTTGGACAGGTACAACTCAGGACGACAGGAAAGGGAAATTACATTAACCATCTATCATTCCGTGGTATATGGAAAAAGTTTGACTTATTTCCTTTATAACTAAGGCAATTAAGATGTAACCAGCTCCGGATATTCCAAATCGACAGACTGCTTATTGTCGTCGGAGAACTCCTTCAGGGTTGTTTGACAGAATCATTAACGCGGGCGCTAGTTAAAGGCCAAAAGTGAACGTACACGATGGGAAAACAGGAAATTCTTTC